TTCATACGTAAACCTATGTCTTTCTACCAATTGTGCATCGATAGCAGATCAATAGCATATAACAACCGTCATAGACTCATAGGTGTCATCGTGGATCGTGACCTAACCTGGAGCCCACATGTCGCCTACCTCAAGAAAAAGCTCATTGACATTGAGAAGGTATTCATGTGTGTTGCCGCAAAATTATGGGTCCCATACGTGCACTTCGTGCTGCAGCTTTCTACAGCCCTCTTTCTGGGACTTCTCCGGCACAGCCTTCCTGCCCTGTACAACCATGCTATACTAACATCCGTGCGCTACAGAGCGTACAAGCCCAAGCACTTCGGACATGTCTTGGCCTTCTAAGATGCTCATTGACAGTTGTCATTGAAAGTTGCGTGACAGTTATCACACAAGAACAGCCGGTCACAACGCTTATCACTGTCGAGACGCGGAGAGCGCACATACAGCATTTATCACGACCTCAGTCACATTATTTAGCGCGTTTGACGGCACAGAGGCCTCATTCTTCGTTCTGTGGTATTGTGACGAAATATCAGGACATATTACCACCTGGCTTCAAACTTGCGATGCGTCCAGGAGCGGCATTATGGAGTCTCCATTAACCTAACGTGCGCTCATTGATTCCTAGAATCGTTAAGAATGCACGCATGTCACCGCTAGCCCTGAAGCTTGGACTTTGCGCCCGTTGGACGAAAGATACTTTGACAGCATACATGTTTACACCGATGGCTCCTCTAATTCCAACACCTCGACAAGAGCAGTGGTTGTTTCATCTGGAAATGTGTTGCTTCAATACAAGTTTTCTCACACAACGACGTCGACAACAGCAGAGCTCGCAGCGCTTCAAGGTGCAGTCAAGTATATTCTTTGCAGACACCTAATCAATGGGCCATCTTTTGCGACTCCAGGTCAGCCTTACAGAACCTACGGTCTGTTATACAGCACGGGTTACACGAGCTATTAGTATATCAGATAAAGCACGACCACCACAAAATACTCGAGGAAGTTCATGATATTTATTCAAATGGTTGCCGAGTCATTGCCGATTTGTCGGCAATGGCCATGCGGATGAAGCTGCTCGATCGCCTCATGACGAAGATCTGCGAACCTTCATACCACTCTTAAAAACAGACTCTGCAAGGCGACTACGATTACTCGCTCGCCGTATAACTCTCCCACAATGAAATAAGCCGGGTTTCTCGAACGCGCGCCTGTATTCCATCGACCCAAACTTACAACTTCGTTTGCCATCCGGGCTCCCACGATGCGCTGAACCTGTACTGTGTCGCATGAGGTTGGGCGTGGAATGTGCGAAAGCGCATTCTCGTCTCCTCGGAATGGCGAGCAGTTTGGCATGCAACATCTACGCCTGCGAGCAAACGCTTCCGCACATTCTACGCCGCTGCTCAGCATACCAGTCTGAACGACGTGTTATGGAAGTCAAGCTCTGTCAGCTGAATACACAGCCGCTTACAGAAATGAAGATCCTGGGACCTTCGCCGACGGCATCGCATAGGCGCAAAGCCACGAAAGCCCTCTTGTACTTTTGAAGAACCACCATACTTCACAAGCGCCCGTAAAAGAACAGTGGGAGACGGTGCTGTGTGGTCTCGAGCTGACTCTTCATCCTTGTCTCTCTTAGTCCTCTTCTTTTCTATCTCTTCCTTTTAAATTATTCCTCCTTTCCCCCTCCTCAAGTGTAGGGTAGCCAACCCAAACAAGCTTGGTTAACCTCCCTGCATTTCCGCTCTATTTATCTTTCTCTCTCTCTCTTAATATTTCTCATATCAAGGTGGCCTTATAGGAATGCAAGAAACAAGAGAGGCATATTCCTAAAATCTGGTCTCAAGTGATGGCTATGCCAACAATGACAAACTAATTGAAGAAATATCATAAATGTTGCGTATGCGCCTAGTACCTCTTATATACTTCCAGCGCTGCCGTCTATATGGCGTTGCCCTCGAACTAACGAACAAGAAAGAGTGCCACCCAGGTTTCGCTTTCAAGTCAGTATGTGAAGAATAGGCAGTTCCACTTCTGCTTTTGACTGGGCTGTTCCGGTATTCATTGCAGCTTAACAACACAACATATAACAGTAGACATAACAATATACGTCTTTTGTCCCTGTGGCCACCATCCTCTGGCTCTTCTGTGTACTGTGAGTCGTCCTTGCACGGGACGTAGCTCTGAGAAGCAGAAAGGTAGCGTTCATTTTTTTCACGAACAAATGATCGCGCTTGTTTTGATGGCTGTTACGTCCTTGTTTTGTTGTTTTGTTCCACCAGCTTACAGCAACATAGCGTCTTGACCATAACATATGTCATACTGCAGCCAAACCTGAGAATTTCGATTTGCACGCAGCAAGTGTAAATGTTTGCCATTCTTCACCATAGCCAGGCTAACAGAAAACATATCGCATGTGGCTGAGGTTTTAAAAAAAAACTGGTCAATCAGCACCCGTGAACTCCTCTTCGATACCATTTTTGCTATTACGTAAATTGAATATATGAATAGTACAGGCCTGGTGAAGTTTCTTTGCGCGTCCTTGATAGCACGACGATCGATGAGAATAAAAACTATGGAAATATTAAGCTTCGCCTTTAAGAGTTGAACGCGATAGCGAAATCTAGCCCCTAGTGCACCCTTCAACCTCTAAGTGTATACTTATTCATATGTTTTGGTACATGCTCACGGATGCACACAAACATGCACAGAGTAGATTGGACCAGCGCGCGCTATTATCGCCAAATGGGCTCATTTTCGTCATAACACCTGGCAAAAAAACCGCGTTATATGGGCCCTGAAACACTTTTTCAAAAAACCATGAAATGAATTCACTAGAAGAGCTTATTGCCTCTCGAATTCAACGCCGCGAAAATTTCAAGAATCCATCCAGTTCGAGTGGAGCTACAAAGGTTTGTCGAATGCAGCAATTGCATCATCTTTTCACTCGTCCCGACAAAGCGCTGGAAGCTAAGCAGGGAGGCCTGGCAGGGCAAAAAACTATTGCGCCTCGTGAACTTGAGCACTTTTAAATGCGAAGCATTTCTTAACAAACTTCGGTGACTTTGAGAGTATCTATCTATCTATCTATCTATCTATCTATCTATCTATCTATCTATCTATCTATCTATCTATCTATCTATCTATCTATCTATCTATCTATCTATCTATCTATCTATCTATCTATCTAGCCACCTACGGCTTTAGCTCTGCTGGCCGTTTCGATAAAGGTATCGATACCAAACTTGATAAGGCATAACAAGACTGTATGAAAAACACATTTTATTAGTCATCACATGAAAATCCAGATATGTATGTCATGAATGTCATGATTTATATATCACGGTCTTGCAGCTCTCGCGGTTGTTTCGTTCACATGGCATGCTGCAAAACTGGTATGGTATGATATGATTGCATGGCCAACACAAGCGACAGACCATAACATGAAAATCATTGCATGCGTGTCATGTAACAACACGACTACATGCCACGCTCACGATGCGCTCGCGGCTATTTTTCTAGCGTCACATATACCAAATTTGATATTACAGTACGTGAATGCATCACGGAGGTATGTGACTGGTGTGAACATGATAATCATGAGGTGCGTGTCATGTAACAACGTGACTACATGCCACGTTCATGATGCGCTGGCAGCCGTTTTGCCAGCTTCCAGTATACCAAATTTGGTATTACGGCACATGAATGGATGACGAAGGTATGATACTGGTGCGAACATGATAAACATGAGATGCGTGTCATGTCACAGCATGACTACATGCTACGCTCATGATGCGTTCGCGGCTGTTTCGCTGGCTTCACATGTAGTAAACTTTGTATTACGCGACGCGAACGGACGACATAGGTAAATGGCACATCAAGCATGATAATCACGACATGCGTGTCGTGTAACAACATGACTACATGCCACCCTGATGACGCGCTCACGGCCGTTTCACTAGCTTCACATATGCCAAATTTGGTATTACTTGACGCTAATGGAGGACGAAGACATGTGACTGGTGCAAACATGATTATCGTGAGATGCGTGTCATTTGAGAACATGAGTCACAGTCAAGGCAACATGCGTGCCACAGTCAAGGCACCAATACATTTCGACGTGATGCAGTGTGCGCGCTCGCCGGCGTTAATTTCGTCACGCCGGGTGCCGTTCCTGCCTTATACTTGCAGGCGTGCACCGCGCTGCGTTGTTTTGACGCCGGCACGTTTGAGCGCGTCCAGCGTCCCTCTGTCACGAAAAGAGGGAGATGCAGTGTTGTCTGGGTAACGCATCAGCGCGAAGTGCAGCATGTCGCATTTTGCGCCGGTTGCCGTCGGGTAACGCCAACGGAAGCTGGGCGTGCCTGGCGGCAGAATATGGAGGGCCAGTGTTTTGCTAACGTAGCATTGCTGTGCCCGCGTGCGCGCGCGTCAACGCTTCTTTGGAGTATACTTGGCCCTTCATGATGCGCTCGCGGCCGTTTTGCTAGCTCCACGTATACCAATTTTGGTGTTACGTAAAGTCAATGATTGACGAAATATATGACTGGTGCAAACATTACAATCCGGACACACGCGTTATGTAAGAACATGACAACATACCACGCTCAAAGCGTGCTCGCGGCCGTTTCACTCGCTTCTCATATACTAAATTTGGTATCACGTGAAGTGGATAGATGTCAAAGGAACACGAAACATCGAAACATGATAATGATGACATGGAAGACATGTACGGCATCATTTACCTCCACCTCGTAACGTTGTGCTGATGTTTAGGTGACATATCCACATTTTTAGGTGACATATCCACATGACATAACCACGCACGCCTGGACAAGTAGCGGCATCTCGTGGCTATCTCGGTAACTTGATTTTTCGGTCCCAGATGCACAGACAATTTTTTCCCTCGCAACAAACGAGGCCGACGCCGGCGGCGGGTTTTCTGCGACATGAGCTCTTTAACGCTAACGCGTCATTATTTTCTAAGAACTTGCCCGTTCTGACGTATCCTTCATCGTCGAAGACATGAGCGGTTGCCTCAGGTGCATCAAGGTACCCTTTGAAGCAGGTCGGTCCCTTCACGCAGATTTCGCCACACTCTCCTGGACCGAGCTTCGCCCCACTGTCAATATCCACCACCTGCAAACAAAAGGCAACAAAAACACTCGAGTCAAACGGTTACAGTACCCGCATGTGAGCTCTATGGTGTGCTCTCTTTCACAAACAACAGAGCATATGCACAGTTTATTTACTTATTTGTCTATTTATTTATTTACCTGTTTATATCAGTACCTTCAGAGTCAGAGGGCATTACAGAAGGGGATGGGTAGCATTTTGAAAACAACATGCTTAGAAGAGAAAAGTTGTGAATTTTAAAGATCACAGGAAGTAACGAACAAGAAATAGTGCACGGTATAATAACAAAAAAGAAGTATTTAAGAAATACAAAGCATAACCAGCCATATAGAATAAGCATCAAGTAAACGAAATAACACTCAAGTAAAAGCACGTGCCTAACAACAAAGAAAATGCATCGTAGCAGCAGCCAGTGTAAAGTTACTGGTGTGTGCAAAAAAGAGGAGATGAAAATAAATGTGCTACAGAAAAATGAAAATATTATATTCCTAAAAATTATGACGATAAGGGGTTAGTTACAGCCAAAGTTACTAGAACTAACTCTGTCGGGAAGTAGGGCTGAGTGGCCGGTCGCCAGAACTAGTCGCGCTGCAGTTCAATTTTGTTCCCGTGGCCCCGAGCGCGTGTGTTGTGATCGGCGGCGGCGATGGTACAGTGGCTAGAATAAGGGAAGTGTGTAGACCGCGCCGCGTGCGCTGACTGCTCTCCACCGATGCCTCGACCGGCACTGTCTAGGTGGCGCTGGTTGTAGCCTACACGTCGCTCGCTCGGCGGCTCGCTGCAGCGAAGCGGCCATGTCAAGGCTGATTTGTGGCTGATATGTTTTTGCTTGCACCGTAAACTTTATGTGCCTCTACTCTATTGCAGGGCGTAAGTGCATCATATATAAATGAACTTCGCAGCAGATAATATCAAACTTTATCACCGTATGATGTGACCATACCCATAGCATCATAAGTGAAGCTTTACATCAATCGCAAACATCGCGGCCAGCTAAGCTTACCACTGGTAGCGATCGTTCCTTCATGCTAATAATTGTAACCGATTATCATTTCGGGGGCATTGCCATTTCGCAAGGTTATAAGCAAGCTCAACAAGAACAAAGTGCTACTGTGGCATTGATATCAATTTCTTTAATATTGTTACACCTAACATTTTGCATGAGATAGTTTTTAAGGATTTAAATATTCTTGCGTATTCACAGTGGAAATATTTTTCGATTAACAACTGCACAGAAAATCGGACAACGTTTTACTTTTCTTACAAACTTTATTTGAAGTTGGGGGCATAATAGTAGGGAAGAAAGCTAGCACACTACAGTGTGATGCACATCACATCGTTCTTCGAAGCTTGAGGTGCTTTGATCTTTCTCTTGCAGAACTTCTCTGTTTGTTTAGAGATTTCGTGAAGAAGTGAAGTTGTGTGAGAACATAAAACTTGATTATGTTGCTTGTCAGATCTTGCTTGTGTGAGTCACACCCTAAGGATGGTACGGTCTGCGTTGAATTAGGAAGTTCAACTATAGTGTCCCTTTTGAGCTTAATATAACTGAACCACAATGCAAATGTGTCCTGCAGTGCCTCCACAAATCAAAATAGCTCAGGTGACGGGTACAAGAGCCCTCCAACATCACAGAATGTTGTGAATGACACAAGGTCCTTATTTGCGTTCTCGAGGGATGTGAGCAGCTGCTCAAAGCAGTCCCGGCATATCGTTGCCATAACTTTCCTCCGTGCCACATAGCCAGCCAAACAGTACACCAGTCTTGCGTCAATGACTTGCACAGGATACACACGGTCAAAAAGGACAGTCGATGCCTGTAGCACACTTGAAGCTTCGTCCAGGTTTCCAGTGTCCAGTAAATTGTCGACATGGTTGGCCCCTTCATCAGTTCCAACTAATGACGTAAGTGTTCCACCTGTACAGTTGCCCATGTCGGGTGCTTCTATCAAATTGTAAAAGCTAAGGGAATTCATGGCAGTAAGGAACTTGGTTGAGGTGGGATGGTCGTTGCATCTGGATAACTGACGAATTATCCCAAATAGCTCTTCGATTGGATCTTGGCTGAGGCGTGAAGTCAAGAATATTTGTACTGCACTTCCTCTGACAGGTATGTTAAAAGTTCCAAAGTGCCTTGCAGAGTTACTCTTAGACCTTCTTCAGTGCTAGCAGACAAAAAGCCTGCCTTCATAGGTCCGGTGCAGGCTTCCCAATGGTCTGAGTATGCTAGAACACTCTGCAGTACTCTTTCCTGTTCAGAATTTTTTCTCAGTGCCGTCGAAGGCACTCGAGATGTCATCCCAACAATTAGCTTCTCCATGAAGCGAACAAATTGTTCTGTCGCTTCTCTATATGAACATGACTGAGATTGCTTCTCTGTATAAGAAAAGCCCGCATGTAACCTCAAGGCTGAAGAGATGAGATGCGTAATTAACTTTCATTTTTTCGAAGTTGTTGGTGTTCAAGTGCACTTCTGTAATCTTCGGCATAGCTTTAAACGTTGTAGAACACTTGTCCAAGTCATGAGCTATCCTGATTGGCCTAACATCAACGTGCCCATATGGTGTTTTATAGCCATTTTTGATGAAGCCGTTCCTGATGCACTTTACTAAATGCGGGAAGTCAGACAGAAAGAAAAGCCGCCTCTTGACGTCAGTTGAATGAGGTGCTGAAGGCTTGATAGTTGATGCCGAACCAGATATGCCAAATCGATGCCACATTGCACGGTTCTAAGATGCTCCATCCGTTGTCACATAGTCTACCTTGAGGCCAGCATTCTCTGCCAGGATAAAATGCTTCTAAAATGATTTTGGAAAGCAGTGAGGCTTTCACATTGCCTCTAGATGCAAATACACCCAAGATTTGGTGCAATCAACCTGACAAAAGTTGAAACATTATCACAAGACCATGGTTACATGGAACCTTTTGTCAGCCTCGGGAGTGAAAGAACCAAGGTCTACAAATTCATCAAATTTTTTTACTTCCCCGCTGAACACCAACGTTTTCTGCAAGTTTCATTTCGTCAACGATCATTCCACCATGACGTTCGAAGTCTCCCATATTAGCAGTCTTCTTAGAAATGCCTGAGAGGACACACTTATTAAAACCAAAGCACGTGTCGTACTTCTTCATGAATGCTGTGAAGCATATACGACAGGGTAGCACAAGAATTTTCTCCTTACGCACATGCTCATGAAGTCGTGGGCTCTTCATGTGCATAATGACACACTCCAACATCCACTCCGGGTTGTAGCGCATGCCATTTCGGGACTTGCGCCTTGCACTTTCAAAACACCGCATAAAAGCGTTTCTTCTGTTTAGATGGGGCTTGTCTATTTTGCTCAAGAGTGCGCTTTCTTCAATTTCTTCATTCCTTAGTTTTAGCTGTGAGATGGTCTGGTCGAGAGTCTTCAACTTGTTTCTAAGGCGGCGTACTGTTGAGGTTTAGCTTTAAGCTTTGTTGCATGGGTCAGTTTGCCTGCTGTTTTCTTTTTCCGGTATCTCTGATTGAAGAGGAGCTTTCTCAAGTACTTGCAACTCATGCAGCGTCTTTCATCTTGACTTGAGGTACCTTTACACTTGTGGTGGTAGAGCTTCCCATTCCAGACCTTCAAGTTCTTACAAGATGATGCAAAAGGAAACTCACACAACAAGCTTGCCTTGAACACACTGGCATGGCATCAACAGTCTCCAGAAGAGAAGCTGGTTCATATGGCCCATTCATCAAAATCTTCACACCACGCATAAATACTTCATGTGTTATGGCACTTCCACTAGCACAAAACTTAACAAGTTTCTCTGCGTGTAGAAGGCTCATGTCCGAGCTAGGCGTGCACAAGCTGTAGGTGACTTTTAGGGGTTCCTCACTGAATACGTGCCTTCCCCACTAATTTGAAGGAAGTGGAACGGGCTTGTAGTGGCAAACAGGCGCAGCTGGTAGGTCGGGTGGCTACGGTTCATCCTGCGGTGGCTCCTCTTGCAGCTCCCGGTCGTCGTCCTTTCAACGTCTTTTCTGACGAATCACAAGCGGTGGGTGTGATCTCTTCTTAGGGTTTCTTTTTTGCACCACACGTTTGGAAAGGCCGAAAGGAGCATTTGGAAAGATCGATGGGACGGCATGCGGCAATAGTACAGGCCTAGCTTTGTCCAAACGCACTAACTCACCGTTAATAACGTGCTCGAAGTGGCGCGAGATGAACTGCTGATCGAAGTGGAGCTCCCGAACGGCAGCGTTCTTTTCCAAAGGCTTGTCTGCTCTTGGTATATTACGCTGCCGCTGTTGGAACAAACGGTCGTCATTTGGTACTCCTAACAATGAAAGCTTCTGCTTGCACGATTTGTACCCAATTGAGCGTCTCGGCCCAAAACAGTGGCTCTGACATCTGCTCATGGCACACACTCCACAAAAGACATAACGTAGACACGATAAGGATGTCCGAATAGCAAATGCAGCACAAAAGAACAGCTTGAACAGGCAAAAGAATCATGTTTGACCGGCGAGTTGCAGCGTTGAACAACGTGCGCAGCCTGAGAGCCTGACGTGGATGGATGGATGGATGGATGTGGCTGTACCCTTTAGATCGGGCGGCGGCTAACGCCACCTAGCCGTAATACTTAGTAAACTAACCATTAGATTTATCTTTTTTTAGTTTAAATAGTGAGGTTGAGGATTCGTATTTTGCAGTGAAGGGTTCATTTTTCACTCGTGCCTTGACTTTAGCCACAAATCAGATAACCTCCTCTAGTTAAGTCTACCCGCTTAAAGTCTATTTTGCCCTCCCTGTCCCTAAACCCCAGTGCTTTGAAAAACTCTGCACCATCATCCTGAAGGGTGAAGCCCTTTACAGAACATTATCAAGTGTTCGGCAGTTTCTTCTTCCTCTCCACACGCACTCCATACTGTGTCTACCCTTTCGTATTTGGCCCGATATGTATTGGTTCGCAACACTCCCGTCCTGGCCTCAAACAGTAGAGCACTACACCTAGTATTATCATAAATCCTT